GAATCCTTATAAGCTTGTTGAGTAAAGAGATATGGTTAGATGTGTGATATGCATTGAGGTTGGTTGATAAGTATCGTTCGAGTGCCGGGCTGCACGGAGTTCTCGATAGGCAGTGAAATAATGACGTCGGTCGAATGTGTCCGGTGATATTGAAGGAGATGGATGTACTGGAGAAACTATTGAGACGTAGGGTTCGGGTAGCAGCCTCAGGGATCAGACCTTTACTCTTCGTGTAGCCTACCGAAATACTTTGAGCAGGTAAAAAAGACTTTACCTGCTTCACAGATGGACCAAAAGTATATGAAAACCAAAAGCCAATTGCAGCTATGAGCATATTCCAGAAATACGGATAGATTGGCCAGCTATAAAACACTTTCATGCCTTTGAAGTAGGTTTGTAAGACTACTGGAGGCATGTAAGCGCTCAAAAAATTGGCTCAAAACTAATGTCTGTCAGGGCGTATCTTGACTCATATCGTTTCCACCTCTTCTATGATAAAATTATGAGACACAGCTCAGGCTCTAGAACCTTAACAAGAGGAATTTTTATCGATTGACTCGCGTATCCTTCATAACTGATTTCATCCTGTTCGCTTCCCTTGAGTTTGATCTCCACCGCGGGGTTGAGATATTCGAAGGCGAGAAGATTATCAGTGTGACAAACACCAACCGAATAAACTTGCAGCGAATTGCGTGGTACAAGTAGTCAATCATTCGTAACGATCATGGTCTCGGCAAGCAGGAAGTGGACTCCAACTCGCGAGTAACTCAAACTCACCTCAAGTAACTCAGCGAATGGCAGTGATATTGAATTGAATCTTTCTGCAGTGAGAAAGAAAAAGTTGTGCAGCAATTGAAAGATATTAAATCTGTGTGTGTTATTTACCTGCACCAATGATTTTTCTGTCTGATGCTCATCGGAAGTGTGCCATGGAATAAAACAACGGAGGAATAAAGCTGTTTCAGCGAATCAGTGACTCAGCGAGGTTTGACAAAAATTTCCACTTTTGAGACCTTTACCCTGCAGACTGAAAAAGAAAGACTACGATACATTGGATTATTAGTCAGGATTCTAGTTGACATGGTTGCAACCTCGGCTGGATACACCAGCTGTTGTATTTGCTTGCATTTCTCTGCATGTATCCTCGTGATTAATACGTTTGGAGCAGATTATTAAGTATAGCTTCCCATTAATGGTGTCAGTGATGATATTTCTGGTCTGCTTTATAATATCATGCAGCAACAATAAGGGCTCCAACTCTGGTGATTATCACATTCAGTACCAGCTATCAGACTGGTCAGGAACAATTGCAGCTCCGTGAGGCAATCGCATCAGTCAGCATCGCCGTATCTATCACCCATTCTGGTATTTTTGCGTCAAAAGAGCTAGCCGCTCCTGTGGCTCTCAAGTCAACTACTTGCTACCCGTTTTCAGCTATTTGTACAGAAGTAACGTTAGCTAAATTCCTTGTTGAAATGAATTTGCGGCTAAGACAAGGATCGACTTTTCTCTGACGTTCGAAGCCAACCTCTTTGTCATCTGCGCCATCGCATGAGAGATGTTATCCTCTGCATAACTCAAGGACCTAATTTATGTTTTAAAGTTAGACGGCTTATTAAAAAATGTCAAAATACCTTCGTCAGGCCTAATATGGACTTTTGTCTGGATCCTTCCTTCCACTCGGGCACGTTCTCAGTATTTTTCTCTAGAAGGCAGACGGGCTAAAAGACATGTGGAGGTCTCTTAACTTCAGACTAAATCTGGCGGCTTATCGACCATCTCAGAGTTCAGGACAGGCTTTAGAGCCAAGGAAAAAATGCTACTACTTACTTTGCACTGCCGTGCGATTGCTTAGTTTGGTTATCGATAAACATCAGCTAAATGGATGCTCAATTTGACATTATGGCAATCATCGGTTTTTGCCAAGGATGCCAATTATGGCTCAGCTTGACCGAAACATGTTGCACAATCTGTAAATTCCGCTATATTTTTATTACACCTGATCATCAGATAATGCTTACGATAACTAAAATTATTACATTGCTGATTGACTGCAATAATTCTTTTGTAAGGAACAATTTTGTGCAACTAAGTATTTAACTTGTTTCTGCATGATGGTGCAGTAGAATAAACTATAAACTCATTATAATGTCCTGAGAGCAATATCGTAACAAAGAAATATGAAGTCTCCTCTATAAGGAAGACTCAGAATGTACTGTTTAAGCAACATCATGGAAGAATTCTGTTTTTCACAAGATAAAATAAAATATAACAGGCACTATAAATAAAAACTAACAAAGCTGGAAAGTTTATGAATCAAGCCGCTGTATTAATCAGTAAATATGAAGACCGGAGAACCAAACTGCTCTTAACGTTCAGATCGTACATCTCCTATTTTAAGTTCTGACCAATGACTGAATAGGAAATCGAAATTTTATGCCCCAGCGAATGAATCTGATCAACAACAGTATGGTAGTAACTTAAAATAATGACGGCACTCATTCTTCAACCACATTTTCAGCGAATTGTTGATTTCTTTCAGTTTTCAAAGGTATTTCCTCAATGATTGCATTGATTAACTAAACGTTCAATGCGGAAAAAGAAAAGGACAATGACGCAATGGGTTATGGTGTTACTTTGCGTCTTAGCTGTTGCATCCGAACCCCC